TTTCTTGTTTTTCTCTATCAAACTCTATCCTCAACTATCACACATTTCTTAGATATCAGTGTTTGAACTTACTCTTAAATTAAGAGCCATGAAAAACTAACTGTTACAAAGATAGATTGGAGACTTGCTTACGGCAAGATGAAGTTGGATTAAAGAAGACTAAAGTAAATGGCATTGGGGATGCTAAGAACATGGTGTCATTCCTAAATATCTACATGCGTTAGTGTTGTTAATTTACATGTATTCATTTATAACAACTACTTTTACCGTAGCAAAGCCCACTTCTATCTGATGGCTGTAATTTACAAAAAAATCCTTTAAGAAATTGGCCATTTTGGTAGTAAGGGAAATGTTTATTAATGTAAGATATAAAAATACCGATACGTTGTAACCTTTTGAGCTATTTAATCAATTGACTAAGAGATTTTTAACATCAAAGTAGAATGCCCTCCTTTAAATAAAGTACCCAAAGAAGGTCAAAGAAGATCTTCCCTTTTTTCTAACTTGTTATGAGTCTATTTGCCTTTAATAATGTTTGTAGTAGCTGTGAATGAACCCGTCGCAATACGACATTATTGATCCAGATAATGAACTCTTGACGCACTTTGCGCAAGAGTTCATTTCAAGATTAAAAAAGCGTAAGGGTGAATTTTCTTTTAAAGTTTGGATCATTACGATCGTTAAACCATTTTGATTTCTTTGTACATAAAGCTATAAAAGATGTTATTTACAACATTTAAGGGATCTACCATTAAATAAATTAGCAAAGCTTCTTGCCATTACAAGGCCCCTACCACAGGTAACGCATATGCGGAAACCATCAGTAGGGCAAAAGCAGTAGGCAGATAACCGAATTATGGAATAATGTGTATGCATAAAGTGAAATACAGTTCATCAAGAGCATAATTCTGTTACTGTCAGTTATTCGCCCTTCTCTGAAATTGCTGTCCAAAACAGCCCCTTGTATTCCTAAATAACTCGTGTCACAGGAAAATGTAATCTGAGCTAATCTATCTGTAACCCAAACAATTTGGTCACAAATGATAAAATTGTAGTGGAAGCTTTAATCGAGTCTGTCCCTTATAAGCACTTCTCAATGAACTAGTTTTGACTTTAGCATTAAATAGCTATTGCAAGATGGATAACCTTTTGTTATTTTTGAATACCAAAACATTCATCTTATCGGACGGTTGTACTATTTTTAGATGGTTACCCGCTAATAACTTGTATCACCTCACCAATTGTGTATCTCCTGTAGACCAGTTGGTTTAATAAGAAAATAATTATACAGAGCCTCGTTGTATCATATTTTAGAAGTAAGGAGAAGTAGAAGACTCATTTTATGTTTATAATATAATTGGTTTTTATTAATAATATTAATTGTGTGCTTCACTCGGTACCAATATAGGCTTAACAGGTCAGACCACGAGAAGGTGGAAGCACATCCTGACCCAAAAAAGAAAACATAGAAGAAGCGAGTGGAAGGGCTATACTTACGACGAGAAAGGGAATTAGTGTGGTCAGTGAAAGGGTGATACTTACAACGAGATACTATGGTGGCGGAGTTTACAAGGGCTATACTTACCGGGGGATAAAAACGTTACAAGGAGCACCCTAAACAAGTTCCGCGAACTTTAGTATTATCAACCTGGCTTGAATCCCGACCAATCTTCACACCCATTAAGGAAGGACGGCGCGACGTAATTACCCAATGCTGTCTGCTTTTACCAGAAAAGAACTGACGCTGTAGGCGATAGACACGCAAGATATCAACGAACACCTCCTAGACCCAGCCTCCTAACACCAAGTGCAATCATCCAAATGCTAATGCCCTTTCATACCTACCTACCACCAAGTAAACTACTCCCCATGATACATCCACTTGCATGTTCAACCATACCGTACTTCAACAAGTAGCCTTGGAGATCCACGGTACAAGTAAAAGCACACGTTTGGTCATAATTTAAGAGAGTACCCATGACATCAACCCATAAGCAATTACCGGCGCTTTAACAGGAAAGATAAGACCAGAAGGAGCTGATCGAACACTTGGAAATGCTTGTGAATTACATCCTTTTCTACCAGATATTGCCTTGGGATTTGGTTTCAATTGTTCAAGATATTTTACCCTCTTGTATTCTTCATGGGAACAACACAAAGTCTTGAAAGTCTTCCATCTTCATTTCAGTCGAGTCCAAGTCCAACACCTTTTTTTATTTTTTTTTGCTTTTTTTTTGAATTTTTTTTTTTTTTTTTTTTTTCCAACATTAAATGTTTTTAAATTTTTTTTTTTTTTTTAGGGTTTTTTTTTTTTTTTTTTTTTTTTTTTTTTCATGGATTTTCTAAATTTTTTTTAATATGTACAGTGTGGGAGGGTAAATATATACAAATGGGTCCGGAGGACAGCACCAGGCCGCCAATATAAACAAAGGTTCCCGGCACCAGGCCAGGAGAGAAAAAGTACAAGTAAATATCATATATACAGTATGGGGCGGAGGCACGAAGCCTCCATGTATGTACAGTTTTGGCACCTAACCAGTAGATAACATATTTACAGTATGAGGTAGGGGGCACCAGTCCCCCCAGGCTATTTACAGCGGATGTTTTATATACAAAAGACTTGGGCACCAGGCTTGCGAGATATTTACAAAAGGGAAAGTATATACAAAGTTTGAGTGGCACCAGGCCAGAAAGAAGCGGAAAGGAAACAGGAAGGGAGCGGAAGGAGCAAAGGAAGGGTGGCACCAGGCCTTTTTTTTTTGGTTTTTTTTTTATATTTTTTTTGGTGGTGCTAGACTTGAACCCAACCAAAACTTGGACAGAAGACAGACAAGACCTTGCGTTGTTTCCAGAAGATTACAAGACGGTAAGATACCTTGACCAAGAGAAACCAGCACTTTGGGAAATATCTAGTAGAAAAGGAAAACATAAACAGATCCTCATGTTCAACCAACCCCAACTAATCTTACCTTTCAAGTTAAAGTTAGCCAGCATCCACTTATGGGAGGAGTCATAAATACTCTCACACGCCCAATACGGGTACTAGTACAAGACCGCTTCACCACAAGACTACAAGTATCCATACAGTATGATCTCCCATACAAGTGAATATATCACAGGTTTCATCTACAAGGAAGCAAGCAGGTAATCCCTAAAATAATATTATATGTCAATATTTGGCTCTTATACATAAACAAGGATAAATAAGGATGGCTTACCAGACACCAGCATTCTTCAGAAAGCACTCAGTGCAGTTGACCAAATCTAGGAAGTATCCCTTGACACCGTACGTGGACACCCACACCGCCAATCCCTTTCCGCAAGAGACAGTTTCACCAGATAAGAACGGTCACTTTAATCCTTCATTTCAGAACAAGCAAGACGATCAAGTACCCTCACCGAAGCCAACAACCCTCGGCCCACTTCCCGAGTTGTAGAATGAACCTGGCAACAATTGTGAACTAAAAAAAAAGGGGGGAAAAGAAAGTAAAAAGGGGAAGGGTAAATGAAGGAATAGGGTGAAAGGGGAAAATAAGGGGGAGGGTGGGAAAAAGGATGGGTTAGGATTAAGAAAAAAAAAAGGGAAGACAAAAAAAAAAAAAGAAAAGGTGAAGAGATGTAAAGGAATGGCAAAGGAATGACAAAGGAATGGGAAAGGAATGAGAAAGGGATGAGCAAGGGATGGTAAAAAAAAGGGGAAGGAATAAGGTATAGAAACAAAAAGAAAGAAAACACATGAGAAATGGCTATTGTGACTGTGGGAATAAAACTGTACAGCCTTTGCCATCAAAAGTAGTACAATGTCAAGTCGTTTATAATAGTGACACCTGAGATACACAACTGTAACAAGAACAATAAAATTCTTTAAAATGTTATTCAAGATCAATGGCTATAAAAACTTAGCGATATCTGATACCAAGCAGAATGGATTTGAAATACTTGTAAGTAAACTCATTCTTTTTGATAAATACACATTTTTAAGCGCTATCAACCATGTGAGTATTTTTTTTTGTTTTTTATGCAGATCATCTAAAATAGTCATTTCATTAGAGGGGTAAAGAGTCTTTGAAATTTGAACTTGACAAACAAATGGAACAGTATTGATTTATTGCCACAGAAAAACGTATACTAAAATAGATTTCATCATTTCACTGCTTAAAATAGGAATTGATTAAATTATTTGATTCCTTAAACAAACACTGGGCCGGTATAATTCACTGCTTAGGAAGACCTTATTTGTTACGTAGACGTATTTCAGGGCTCAACAACATCAACAAAAAAGGAAGAAAGACACTCTATTGCCGCACACCCCTAGGCCAAAAAAAAAAAAACTTAATTAAACCAAGTAATAGGGGACAGATGGGCGGATGGCCGTCAGGGGATAAACATCCATTCAAATCAGGGGGGATAACCACCCATGAGCGATTATCAATTTATTTTGGGTAAATAAACAATTTAATACAAAAATAGACTTACTTCATTCACTCAAAAAGAGTAGATATCCGTCCAGGCCGTTCCCAAGCAATCTATGTTTTAAAAAAAAAGCTGCTCAATTTGTGAAGAAAAATAGTTCCCCCAGTATACAGTACGTACTAGCTTATAGTTATACTATATTCAGGATAACTATGTGGCCAACATACAACCAGTAAATTAGACATGCTAATTTATTAATTAGCGATATTGTTTTAAGTCATGTCGCACTTGTTTTTACATTTTTGTAAAATATTCAACCCCCCATAAATTTTGGTTGACAAAATAAAAAAAAAACTACTATTTTGAGTGAAAAGTCTTTACCCCCGATACATGAAGAAAATTTTACTTGAGAACAGCCCAAGAGTTATTGCCCATTCATTTTGAGTAAAACAAGACTATAGCATAGCATTCTAAACGTCTTTGTCTGTTCCATTTACTTGCTGTTGTGTTTATAGGTATGTAAAATTATAAGGCAGTATATAAGTAATTTGAGACTGTTTATAAGATTGTCTTTATTATGAAATAAAATGAACAAGTATTTATATAAAAATGACTATCTGCTGTGCCACTATCTTAAGTGTATCTTTGAGGTTGTTATCATTTTCCCAGTGTGTATCCTGTCACCTTTAACTGCATATTTTGTAAATATGTTACACTTGGAATTACTGTCATCTTAGACACATTGTACTTCCATATCTTTAGTAAGCCTTAGTCACTGTGTTCTTGTAACCTTGTGATATGATAGTACTAACTATCTATATTGGGTAATTAATTCCTTAATCATTCTTAATTTATTGATGTCATAGATATGGATTTATTTAATGTAGCAACAAAATAGCAGATCACCACACCTGCAGTAGACGAGTATCTGTCAGTAGGCGAATACGTACTCATTCGATTAATAAAAAACAGGAGCACACTAAAACCTAAAAGTTGCCTGATCCATCTCAGTTATTGTCAACTGGATAAGTATTCGTCTATAAGTATTAAGTCACTCATATGCGTTAAGCAACATAAACAAACGGATTATCCGACACTAAAGGTCGCCCATCCCATTAACCAAGGTAGGTATATATTAATCTGAGGATTTTTAAGAACTCATCGAAAAAACAAAAATCTAGTTTGGTGTACCTGGTCTCTGTAACGTAAAGCTTAAGGTATTGTTGTAAGACGGTATGTGTTTTCAAACGCCTTGCTTCTTTGATCATTTCCGCGTATTACGTTGGATATAAGTCCTGGTGTAGGGTGAAATGGTGTCACTTTGTCTTTTCCCAATTCACAACAGAGTTGAAACCTGCCTGGGTCAAGACCAGCTTCTAATCTTTCTTCGACCCACATGAATACCTTACATTCAGAACACATCGTCGTCATTCTTCCCAAACAATGTCTACTGGGCAGTATTTGAGTTTGCTTTGCTTGATTTATAGTCTGGTGGCCACGATTACTATTCTGGCGGCACAAAAGGCTAGTTCTCCGTAAATGCCCAGGTTGTTGGCATGTTCAACAGCGGAATATTCTTTCTTGGACTGGCTCATGAGTTGAAATGAACTCAGGTTCGTCTACCTCCATGTCCTATTTGGAATCAATCTTAGTTAAAATGCTTACAAAAAAATTTCTTTTTGCTGTACCAAAAAACTGAGGTTGGGTTATTTAGTGCATTGTCATGGTTATTCAATGAAGATGTCACCTAAAAGAACGTCAGTATTTTCAAATAAAAAAAAAAAAAAAAAAAAAAAAAAAAAAAAAGAAGAGATGACTACATTCGTATTTAGGTTTACTGGATTTAGAGGAACATCTAGGTGGGATCTACGACTATGACCTTTTGACCACAGGACGCATAATTTGCAGTATTATTTGACAAGTTTTAGAAAAAAATAAAGGGATAACGTTAACACTATGAGCTGTATTCTTGGGTGGAAGGGTTCACCGCGCACCCCCAAATTTTTTTATCACTCCTTCACCACCAAAGATTTTTTTGTTTATTTCTAAAAATAAAAATGGCCTTTGTGTAAGGACCATTTCGGTTGACTTTTATGGAAGTCGTATTTTAAGTATTTTTTTTTATAAACTTGTTTCAGGATTAAAATAACAGTGGTTTTATTTTTAAAATATAATATATACTACATAATCCTTTATCAGTTGTCGACAGCATATCGTATTTAGTTTAAATAGAAGCCCAGTCTGGCTAGAGATGGTATTCTACTTCAGGAGTTTTCATAAAGCTATTGTGCATATCACGGAATCCACCGTTCATGGGATTACATTGGCCAAAGGAAGAGGACGTATTTTCCAGCCTACAGGAAAATCAAGGTGATGTAGCTATGATCAAGAAGATGATGGTTCTTAGTATAAATTTTAGTCTGAATGTAAACCATTATTACCTGGATTTAATGTTTAATATGTCTCTTGCAACGGCATTAACTATTCTGTCATAAAGTTAATAGGTTGTTACCAATAAAATCTTTTATCGCATAGTTACCCTATTTGATGGAGCACATAAGAATCCCATTATCTACTTTGAAATGAAATTAATAGCTGTTTACTAACGAAAATTATATTGCATAGTTACCGTACTCGATGAATCGCATAAGTCTTTTGCTTGATCTATAGAAACTAGAGGTAAGAAGACTGGATAGTTACGAATAGCCTTTTATATTTATACCAACATTTTATATACATAGCAAAACTCTGTAATGACACGCGTCCATGACCCGATATTAAAAAGTTGCGACGCTTCACAGACACCTACACTTAATTTTTAATAAAAGAGACTAATATAAGACATTACTTCTTTAGAATTTTGAGATTTTTAGTCTTGTAATGGAACAAAAAAAGAATAAAAAGAAGATGAAAATAAAAAAAAAATTCTTATCTACGCCACAAGATGCGAATAGTAAACAATGCATTATGTAATTGAAATATATTTGACTCATCTAATAATCGAAATACTGTTTTTCTCCCTCTATTTAAAGATTTTCTTTACCAAGTAGATATTATAATGCAGCGTGATAAAAGAAGCTATAAAAAACGAAAAACTCCCGTTCCGGTCGCGAAAAACAGTAGTCAGATCAACTTTCGGCTTGAGACTGATATTGAAAGACCTAAATGCTCGCTCTGTGAAAATAGTTCGTTTGACACAATAAGGAACCTTAAAAGGCATTTGATTACGCGACATCATATCACGACCGATGGATTCAAGCAATTGATTGCAGATTATTATCCTGAGGGCTCTCTCGATACAGATACGGACTCAGACGTTGAGGAAGAATATGAGCTTGATGAATATCAAGACAATGATATTGCTGACAATGATTTTGATGATGAAGACGAATCAATTGGCAATGAAAATCCAATGGATGAAATGTTTCAAACTTTGCGTCGGCAAATGTCGTATTCAATGGATAATCCGACATCCGATGTTGAAGCTGATGTTAGCTCTTTTACGCAGAGCACAATTTGGAATAGCAATGTCTCCGATACGCATCCTTTTGCAAATATGCAGACTATGATTCTACATGCCCTTGTGGATGGTGACAATGACATGATATCTCGCAGAATAATGAAGAAGATTTTGTTTGTCATATCGCTTCTTATGAAAGTCAAAGAAAAAGCTGATAATGAAGGTGTAAGTTTCGTATTACCAAGGCTAGATAATATTATAAATTACCAGAAAAGACAAGGAAACAACATGCCTATCTTTCCATCAAAGCTAGTAGATGTTTCGCTGACCGACAATAGTACAATTACTGCATGTTTGAATCTACCATCGGATCACGTAAGACTTTCCGTGGCCAACCCTAACCAATCTGCTTTGATTTGTTCTGTACCTGATCGTAGCAGCAACATGTTTGACAGATTAGAGCAAGGGGAAAAATGGAGGTCGCATGAATACTTTCAGCAGCCCATGTGGACAGTCAACAGCATTGACTATTGGAATGGAGACTGGGTGCGACTGTCAAATACCCCTCCAAATATGAATTTCTTGGTTAAATCTTTCCACAGTTGCAACAAAGATATGTATGCAAGGGGACATTTGACTTACCAAGCTCGCAATAGCAACCAGATTGGTATTGAATTAAAAGAGACTGATGTTCTGGCACAAGCTTTGATGTGTAAGATTGGTTATTTAAACCCTGGTGTATGCTTCAGCATTAGTCCCACTGAGGTATCTCCACTGACAGATAGTCATGCTGCTTTGTTACGTGGTTCACATCGTTGGAGAAAGCTCAAAGACCAAAGAACAGAGGAATATTATAAAGTTAAAATTGCCCCAATAATTTTATTTACGGACGACACCTCTGGTAATATTTCTAAACAGTTCAATGGTTATGAGAGCTGGTCGATGAAGTTTGCTGGATTGAATTTTGATCAAAGATCGTCAATCAAAAACGTGCACTTCATTTCTGCTATACCAAAAAAAAATGGTGGAAGTGGTATATCTCTCCTGCCTGCTATTGTCGACGATTTGAAAACATTAGAAAGTGGAATTATAGCCTATTCGGCCGAAGAAGATCAAGACGTTTTAGTTGTAGCACCTGTTTTATGGATTGAAGCTGATACTCCATGTCATTCAGAGCTATGCGGATTGCTTTCTCCTACTTGCTTATATCCTTGTAGAAAGTGCTACGTTTTACTTCGAAAGCGGATTGCCAATTCCAAACCTTCTGATTACTTCACTTCAACGCATACTGAACGAACCAGGAATCAATATTGGAATGCGGCCTCGGATTCCCGACGAGCTACGATTATACATAATGCACCCAAAACCGGAGAAAGTCTTTCTGCTAAAGATCTATGTTTTAAGGACAGAAAGACTGACAAATTATTAGAATTGCAAGCATACGATCCGGCAAAAGACACTCCGGTGGAGGTTCTTCACGCGATTTTGCTTGGAATCAGTAAATATTTAGTCGTTGATCTAGTGAAGACAGTATTAAAAAATCAAGCCGTACTATTAAACAGACTTTCAGAAACCATTGATCAGTTTCAAGAAGGTAGCATGGGCTTATCAAGAAAATTCACAAGACAGTTGAGACATTGTGGCTCCTTTTTGGGTAGAGACTTCAAAGTACTAGTCCAAATTCTTCCTATTGTGCTTACGAAGTATTTTTCTGACGAGGCAGTTTTGAGGGATATTACAACTTTGTTTGTTTATCTCGGAAAGCTATGCTCATTACTTTTTGTAAGGGAGATGAAGGCAGATCTGAACGAATATATAACATCTGTCGAATTGGCTATCAAGGATTTTATCAATGCACTTCACCACTATGATCTGAATTGTAATATTCCTGGTCATAATGCATACGTAGGAAAAGTCAAAGTTCATTTATTGACACACATTCCGGAAGACATACGTCGATTTGGAACAGTGTTGCATTATGAGACCGAAAAAGGAGAACAGTTTAACAAGCACATTAGGGAGCATATCACCTACACCAATAAGCTGAATCCTTCCAGAGACGTTGGGCTAAAATTTGCTAAACAATCTATGATGCGGCATGTACTTGAAGGCGGTTCGTGGCTGAATGAAGATGGCATCCGGGAAAAAACAACAGAAGATGTGATGTCTTTTATTAAAACTAACGAGTCAATGTTTTATCTCAATCTTTTGGGTGGATCAAGGGAATTTATTGACAATACTGACCCAAATTACAAAAAAATATCAGAAGGCAGCTTCGCTGTTTTTAAAAGTAATCCCAATAGTACTGATGTACATAACCCAGGCCATGCGAAATCATTTGTGGGTATCGTTCAAGGGCCCAATGTGTTGCCTGTAGAGCTAAATGAGCGAACTCCAGAAAGAGGCTACCTGCTGGTGCAAGTTGACAACACCAAGACGGTAATATCCCAAGCTGAACTCGAGGTGGAGGGTGTGTTAAATGTTTATAAGCAAGGTGATGGTACATTTATCATCAATATTTACAAATTTGGTTCTTACTGGCCAATCAAAAACATGCAGTAATTAAAAAAAAAATTCAAAGAATTTTGTATAACAAAGTTTTCCCTTTTAATAAATATGTTTATGTCTATTTTTTTTTCAATTACACAAAAATCCCAAAAAAAACCTCGTTATAGGACCCTAAGCCTTCAAAGGAAGGTCTATTTTGAAAAAACACTAATTACACAAAGTATTTTTATTTGAGCCAATCAACAACACAGAAAAATGCCTATTCTAATTTTAGGCCCTAAAAATCTACGGTGGTGTTAAAAATTGCGCTGTTTAAAAAAAACAAGCATGCTGTTTTTTAAGATATTAGCGCTTTCAAGCCTAATACTATAAGCCATATGCTTGAGGGAGCGGGAGGCCCGTCTATATCGGACGAAAATTTGAGGAAAATTGAGCCAAAATTGTTTTCAGGTGTGACTGGGTTTTTCTAGAGCTAGAAAATAACTGGGGTATTTGTTGACTTAATTTTTCTCTCGAACTTTCTTTAATTTATAACAATTACTCATTCTGAATTCTTCTTCATTCTATGGGATCACTCCTACGCTTATTGATTAAGGTGCTGTTGCCATCGGGGAATGCGTAATCTGGTAAGACTTGTATGGGCTGAAGGATGCGCTGACGAACGGTTATACTTTGAAAACTCTCTCCAAGTCGACTTTGGTCCGTTGAGAATTAATAGACTGTAGTACTTAGTAATGCGAAGCTGGTTACAAACACTTTAAGCAAATAATGCCTTTTTTGTCATCCTACGTATTAGCTACTTAATTTGCTGAATAGTTCAAACGCTCTCTTCAAGTAGATTTAGGTCCGTTGAGAGTTTATAGGCTTTTTTTTTTTTTTTTTTTTTTTTTTTTTTTTTTTTTTCGGTAGTCCTATGTTTGCTATCAGTATTTTAAGCGACAAACGCGTTTCGGTTCTCTCCTTCATATTGATTGCTTCACCAGGTGCTCCCTATTTTGTTAAGTACTCTGCATAATATATTAATCATTACAAAACGAATAACTTTTTGGTTCTAATTGTTAGGTACAAGATAAGATTGAAATTCTGAGAACGGCCTTATACCCTGTAAAAGAAACCAAAGCGATATATCTGGTCTTCCCCAAAACGTCCTGTAGTGCTGGGAACAAACATTACATAGGTAAATACCTCCCTCTTTAAAAAACGTATACAACATTGAACTAAATTATAAGTCAGTATCCCATATCAGCTTCAAAGGATCT